CTTCTTGTGGGAATTGTTTGCTTGAAAAAATTGTCCTTCAACCTTTTATGGAGTCTATGCTTTCCCTGACTATTTAAATGTGTTTCTTGTAGAAGGCTGGATTCAACTTTCTAATCCATCCTGCCACTCTATGTGTCTTATTTGGTACATAAATGCCTTTAACATTCGGAGAGATTATTATCATGGAGTTTTGTGCCATCTTTCTGTAGGAGTTTGACATGTTTGTGAGATCTTTCTTCCTTTAAAGAAGGCTTGTCAGTTCTTGTTAGGTTGGTTTTGTGTTTGTCAAGTTTCTGAGCTGTTGTTTACCTGTGAAGTTATGTATTACTTCTTGGAAATTAAAATCCAGTTTTCTTGCTGAAGCACTTATTTCATTGAATTCTTTACTTATTTTTAATTTTTTTTACTAAATACCACCATTGTCTTTAGGCCTGCAGGGTCTCATTTAATAAATATGATGTGATATCTTAAGGACACTCCTTTGCATGTAAGTTCTTTCACTGATCTCTCTGATTTCAACATTCAATCTCTATCTTTGGCTTTCATGATTGGGATTAGGATGTGTCTTGGAGTGTTTTTATTTGGATCTTTTTCAGCTGGTACCTTTCCAGCTTTTTGAAAACCGGTACATGTGCTCTGCAATTCTCTGGAAACTTTTCAGTGATGATTTATTTGACTATTTCTTCTTCCTTGAAATTGCTTTCCTGGCCCTCTTGGACATTAATAATTCCTATTAAATTCAGTCCAGAGTTTTCTCATGTGCTGTTTATTTTGAGGCATTTTTCAATTTCTGCTGTTAAATAGACATTTTCTGAATCTCATTTTGGAGCTCACTGATTCTGAACTCAGCTACTGTAACTGCCGCTGAGGCCTTCCACAAAATTCTTCACTTCTGTCATTTGTGATTGTAGTGTCGTGATTTCCTCTGTCATGAACTATTTTGTATTTTATTGGCTGTCTGTAGCATTGCTTCTTTGAGCTCATTACATCCTCAAAGTTCTCTCTAAAGCCCTTATCTGAGAGGTTATATAGCTGGTTAGCACTGGTTTGGTCTCCAGGGCTACTGTCTTCTCTGAGTGTGGTGGGGTTCTGCACTGCTTCCCCAGAGTGACCTTGCAGAAGGAGAGTGAGTCTCTTTAGTTCACTGCTTGTGCACGTCCACTGCTGAGGAGCACTTTGGATGGCCCAGTTGGTTGGTGTTCTCTTCATTCCCTGTGGAAGCTATCCAATACAATCTCTTATTACTCATTTTGGGTTTCTTTTGTTGGTCCCATGAGATGTTGTATGTAGAAAGAGTGTGATTTCTCTTAGTTACCCATTCAATATTTTGCTATCCTGGTAGGCACAGTTCAATGGCTCTACTTATCTGGCTCTGAAAAGAGGTTGGCTGCTTCCATGGCTCTTGGCCCACAGTGAAAGAGGAAGCCTCAGTTTCCCCTTGCCAATGAGAGGGAGCCCTCACCATCAGTTCCATTTCTCTCCATTGACCTACCACACTTCATCTTTAACATTCCTGCATTCCCAGGACAATACTATTCTGTACTGAGACATTAGGAGTCACAAGACTCATGAATAATACCAAGGCAGGTGACAAGAAACACAAACCAGTCAGGTCACCCTGCAGATTCTCTATGATACTTGTTGACTGATGCAAAGGGCCTTTAAAAGGGGCTACATAAGACCCCCTTACTTTTTTTTTTTCTTCGCTTTTTTGGTCACACCCAGTGATGCTCAGGGGTTACTCCTGGCTCTGCACTCAGGAATTGCTCCTGGAGGTGCTCAGGGGACCACATGGGATGCCGGAGATCGAACCTGGGTTAGCCTTGTGCAGGGCAAAAGCCCTACCCACTGTGCTATTGCTCTGGCCCCAAGACCCCCTTACTTTTAACCCCCTTACTTAGCCCTATACTAAGTACTTCACCACTTGGGGAGCTCCTTTTATCTTCTAGTTTCCAATAAACTTTCTACTTTCCAACTCTGAGTCTAAGCATCTTTATTATTCAATATTTTCATTCTTGATAACATTGAAGAACCTGGGAATCATGAACGAACACAGAGGTCTGCTGCTGCTGCTTCTGCTGCTGCTTCTGCATTAGCAATAGCCAGGCACATAAACACAATTTAAAGATTTTTAATATGAGAAACATCTGGTCAAATAACATGCTAAATAAATAAATAAATAAATAAATCCAGACCCCCCTGTCTCAAACCAAGCACAAAAATCGAATCAAAATAAATTAAAGACCTTCATATAAGATCTGAATCCATAAATTCACTGACTAAAACATAGATTTTACATGTTTTATTCATAATATTGAAGCTAGAGATATCTTCAATGATTCAATGCCACTGGCCAAGCAAAATGAAACAAAAACAAATGAGACTACAACATACTAAAAAGAAACCACACAGACTAGAAGTAATATCTGCTGACCACTCAGTGTGTGTGTGTGTGTGTGTGTGTAGTTCTGGTAGAACTCTATAAGAAATAAACACCCCACCAAAAAATGAGGGGAAAGATGAACAGAAACCGAAACAGAAAACAAACAGATGACCAAAACATATATGAAAAAGCATTCTCCATTTCTTGTCACCAGGGAAATACAAATTGAAAAAAACAATAAAATACATCTCACACTAGAGTAACATATCTCACGTTAGTGACACTGCACACATTACAAGGAACAAAAACAAGTATTAAAGTGGAATTGGGGAAAGGGGGTTACACAAAAATGTGTAAGTCTGCAACTGTACCTCATGATGTCTCACTATTAAAAAAATCTTTTAATAAAAAAATAATAAAGTGGAATTGGGGGGAAAGGGGTTATAATTATCTGCTGGTAGGAATCCTGACTGATCTAGCCTTCTGGGAAAATATACATGAATATTCCTCAAAAAATTAGTAATGGTAATGAACCACTTCTGGTGCTATGCAAGCCCATTTACCAGCCAGCCTTCAAATAATCATAAATAAAATTTGAAAGAGATCAACAAGCTGTGAAAGATTTTTCTGGACACCTGCACAGGGCTAAGACATACAGGGCACCACGGAGGGGGGTGGACAGCCTCTGGGCTTGCCTGCCCAAATGGAACCCCAGCAGCCACTAGCTCCCACACTCAAAAATCACCACCATGCCCCCAACCAGACTTCATCATCTTGTGACCAAGCCTCACCCAGAAATTAATCTGCAGAAAAATTCGGGAGGATTTTGTGACTGAAATCTCCAGGCTTTTGTGGATTCGGGATGGGCTACCTGTACCCTTTCTCGGAGTCAAAATAGGCTACCTACTCCCACTTTCCCGTATTTCTGGAAGCCCTGGATGCATACACATGCCACAAAGCTACTATCCAGTTAAAAATTTAACTCCAGCTGTTTCACCCTGTCAAAAATTACAGACTTCCTGGAGCACGCATCCACATGACATCTCTAACTGCAACACTGACCAACCAGAAGTAGCAAACCAGATTGGATGGAATATAACATAGAAGGCAACCAATCTTGATTAACAAAACATGAACACAGAAGGCTTAACTTGTAACAACATCTTAGTAATCTCTTATACAAAAATTTAATGTCTCGATGGTGATACAATTTACACTGATTTTCTTCTAAGGAAACATTTTTTGATCATTCTGTTAGCAATTATTGATAACAAGCAATATAAAATAAATTACTAAGGGTCCACTATAGGAGCAGGTTTAAGGGATGATTGGCAATATTGAAGACAATGGTGGACGGAAGGTGTAATGATGGTGAGATTGGTGTTGGAATACTGAATACCTATCAAATCATCATGAACAACTTTGCAAACCACAGTATATATGAACTGTACAAGAAAATTTACATATTTATTCCATGTAAACTTACAAATTTACATATTTATTCCATGTAAATTTACAAATTTACATATCTATTCCATGTAAATTTCAAAATATATTAACAATTGTTTTAATAGTATTATTATCAAAATGAGATCCAAGTATGAAATAAAATATACTTTAAATACCAGAGTTGAAAATGTATACATGTAAATAAGAATAGGCATTTCTTTATATGCAATAAATGGTTTTAATTTTCTTACTTACATAGGTCGTAATCATATAGCAATGCTCTTACTGATTTATTTTCTGACCATTCTATTCGCCACTTCTTAAAGTTTTTTTGGAATAAGCAATATATGGTAAATTTGTTATGTGATAAGGGGGCAGGTTGAAATTGGTGATACGGTGGAGGGAAGGTCACACTGGTGGTGTTGTAACACCAATGCTTGAAACAACTGTATAACGAACAACTTTACAATGCACGGTGTTTTTAATAAATATTAATTTAAAAAATTAGTAATGGAGTTCCCATAAGACCCCAGAAATTCTACATTTTGGCATCAACCACAGGATCCAAAAACTATTCAGAAAAGACATATGTGCTCCTACATTTATTGAAGCACTATTCACAATAGCCAAGATCTGAAACAATCCAAGTGTACAAGGACAGATGAGTGGATAAAGAAATGATGGTATTTATACACAATGGAATACTAAATGGATATAGAAAAGGATGAAATCATAAAAATTGCTTCTACATGGTTGGATTTCAAGCACATCAGGCTGAGTGAAGTTAGTCAGAAGGACAAGGATGGACACAGAATTATCCCTCTCGTGTGTGAAATATAAAGAACAAAGCAGGGGTATAACCAATGTACAAAGGCAACATAAACCAAGAACCGGTCTTCAGTAGAATTTTACCTCAGGAGTGGGCTGAGAGGAGAAGGAGAGGACTTGGAAGGGCAGGACTGGAACAATGATTGAGAGAAGCAAACACTCTGGTGGAGGGTGTGGTCTGGAATATTTCATGTATGAAATCCTACTAATAACAAATTTGTAAAGTTTTGTACCTAAAATAAAATTAGGAAGAGATCTGAAAATGTATATAAAAATGTATAACTTAAATTGAAAATATATTTTACAAAAATATTTTTAAAGATCATTCTAGGCCCCTTACCTGTGCCTTGGCCAATTTCTTTTCTAGAAGGTCCCGTTCCTGCTCTGTTTGCTGCAGGCGTTTATTAAGCTCTGCTATGTCTCCCTTTAGTGACGCCAGGGCTGCCAAGTGAAGCTGGGGATACAGAAAGAAGAGAGCTTAAGGTCAGAGACTTCAGCAGAAACTTATTTCCTTCCCTTCATTCCTTTAATTAGTGATTGTATTAAAATATATATCACCTGAAATGAGATATTGTGGGTACTCATAACCTCAGGGGATGAAAGACATAAATCACTTGTTTTTCAAGAAAGTTAGGCTATATGGTCACCCAAAATGTAACAGAGAGAAAATTATGTATGGGTGGTGAGACCTAATTTTAGATAGCAAAAATCAGAATAGGAGAAAAAAGCTCATCATACTAAGGGATTTTTCCATGGGTTACTTTGCAGGCTGAGGTTAAGAGACAGCAAGAAGCTGCTGATTCTTTTCCCGGAGAAGTGCTGAGCCAAAGCTCAGAGGTGCTCAGAGGATATTTCTGGCTCTGTGCTCAGGAATGGCCCATGGTGGTGCAAAGAGGACCAGATGTGGTGTTGTGATTTGAACCAGGATGCAAAGCATGTGTTTTTCAAAGAGAAAGAATCCCCATTCTATCTCTTTAGCCCCATGGGCTGCTGATTAACACAAAAATAAAATGTTGAGCCAAATTAGCTTTTATCTTTGGAAAATATGTAATTTTAGTAAGGCAATTTCATTTTATGCAATTCACTCATTCTTGTACTTGCACCTGTACAAAAAAAAACAGAGGTAGGGCGTAAGTATTAGGAGGGGAAATGCAGTAGCTATCTCTTTTTCAGATGAAAAGATATACATTTTAAAGCTGTTAAAAATCTTAGAACTCTGCTCACTCATCCAGGTACCTACCTGGTGGCAGGGCCCCTTCCCAGGGCTGTGTGTCTAACTAGACCTCCTGAGAACGGCCGGTTTTCATCCTTGGTCTGTGGGGGACCAGATTTGAAGCACACCACATGCACCCAAAGCGGAACCATTCTGGGAACCCTCTGCTTACTCATCCAGGTACCTGCCCAGTGGCAGGGCCCCTTACCGGAACCATGGCTGCTAATGTGGCAGCAAGTTATTCTCCCCCTACATATCCCTTAGGAACCATAAGTTACCCTCTTAGATAGAACTTTCACTAGGTTAGCTTAACCACCAGAAAACATTAGCCAATAATTCATTAAGCCCATCTCAATGAATTCTGCATCACAAGAAGAATAGTAACAGTGAATGTTAAGGTCTAAACCACACAGGTCACAAAGGTAAAGCAACGCAGAAGCCCACCAAGCTTACTCACTGAAGAGGTTAGCCCAGAAGACCCCAAAAGTAATGAAGTGCTAGACCACCTCTCTGACAAGGAATTTAGAAGGGAGCTAATGAGGATGCTTAGGGAGGTAAAAGAAACAATGGAAAGCAATGCCAATAAAAGACAAGAGGATTTGAAGGTGGAAATGAGGAAAATGCAAACAAAATTACAAACGGAAATGTCAAACCTGAAAAACCTGGTAGGTGAATTGAAAAACTCAGTGGAAGGCCTCAGCAGCAGACTAACAGCTGCTGAGGACAGAATCAGTGAGCTCGAAGATGAAGTCCAGAGACTCTCTAGAAAGGAGCATAAAATGGAAAAGAAACTCACAATCCGGGAACAGATGGCAAGAGAAGAGGAGTCACATAAGAGGAGTCACATAAGAATTATTAGAGCCCCAGAGGGACAGGAAAACCCTGATGAAGAAAAAACTGTCAAAGACATCATTGCTACGATGTTTCCAGAGCTGAAGAAAACATGCAATCACATTCAGGAGGCCCCAAGGGTACCAGCTAGAAGAAATTTGAATAAAAATACCCCAAGACACATCCTGATCAAAATGACCAAAACCTTAGGGACAAAATTCTGAAAGCAGCAAGATCAATGAAAGAAATTTCCTATAAAGGAGCATTCTTTTTTTTTTTTTTTGCTTTTTGGGTCACACCAGCAATGCTCAGGGGTCACTCCGGGCTCTGCACTCAGGCATTACTCCTGGCGGTGCTTGGGGGACCATATGGGATGCCAGGGATCAAACCCAGGTCAACCGCATGCAAGGCAAATGCCCTACCCACAGATTTCCTCTTTCTTTTCCCATCTAGGGTCTTCCGAATTCCCCTATAGCACTTCAAGGACAAATGGGGAGCACAAATCCCAGTCCTATCCTTGGAAATAGCAGGAGAGCTCTGTAAGGAAAAAGCAGCCTCATTCAGCTTCCTCTTCACAATTCCCCACATCCTGGGTCTCCAATTCAGATATACAAAGAACAAAATCCCTAGCAGAAGGGTAGAGCTTGCCAGATGGACACAATCAAGGCTGTTCAGAGACTTCCAAGAGGTAATATTCCTATTTACTGCTAGAATTCCAGCTAGGGCCACCTGCTGTGTGGTATTTAAAGAAAGGCTGTTCAGAGTTTTGAAATGTAAAACTCATTAAATATCATCTATAAAACCACTCATTGCATGAAAATCACTTTTTGCTACTGTACAACACCTCAGAAAGTAGCTGGCTTATTTGTCTTTCATTTTATCTAACAATTTCATTGTGATTAAAAAATAATTAAAATCCAATTGCTGATATCTGCATATTAAGACCCCTTCAAAATGATGGCACAGACCACCATCCGTACGAGAAAAATGGACATCCTTCCAAGGATGCCAGAGCACTCAGGTGCTAACTGTAAATGCATCCTCCCCATCTGCTTTGGGACCAAAGCTACAGTGTCTCTGGCCTACATCAGATGAATGAATGGCAGACAGTTCAAGGTGGCATCTCAAGATGGCTCCCCATGATAGACACTGCCACCTCACCTGCATATGACCTGCTCTACAAACAAGTCACATCACAATTTTTACTTGAAAGGGTACTAGCTGACACATGTGTGTCTACTATGTGCTAGCTGCTATAACATGCACACACCCTATGCAGTGGGCTCTGTGGACTCTGAATTGAAGAAGGTAACGTTTGGATCTTAGATATACAATATCTTGTCAAGCTTATAAGCAAGAGAGCTAAGGCGGATACCCAGGACTGTGACCCACAGCCCAATACAGCCCAATTCATTAGCACTGGAGTTCATGCTGAGCGACAGAGCATCAGAGCTCTCTGGGGTTTGGCAGGTACTTGTAAAACCAGTATAATCAGAAGGTCTTAGGCAGGTCCCTACAAGCAGGGAAAGCAGAACTGCAAGATCAGTCTAAGGAAAATGGCTTCTAACATGTGAAGAAATAGAAGACCTAGAGAGGATGTTTGGAGACTATTGAATCCCTAGCTATTTCATATCTTATGAGGGAAAATTAAAGAGAAAACAACTGAATACTGTTCTTAAAAAGCCCTTAATTAAGCAAATTAAGTCCTTAAGAAAATGGGAGGAAAAGTTGTTTTTTAAGAAAAAGTAATTTTTTAAAGCCTTAAAACTTAAAAAGTTCTAACAATATTTTATACACACACACACACACTTAAAATATACTAAGTAGCAATTAATAAATAGAATATCTGCCACTAAAGGTAAGTCACTTAGTTTGCTCCACTAACAGCCCACTTTTATTTTACTGCCAAGAAAAACCTTGGATGTCTATACAAATACACACGGAAGCAGGCAGGTAGAACAGACCCACAGTAAAGGAGCAGTAGTCCTGAAATTTCAAGGGGAGCTATATCTTAATGACATCTCAGGCAAGAAATAAAGATGGGACAATTATCTCTGCTAATCAGAGGACATGGATATTTAAGTGTGCAGGAAGAGTGGTGTGATACCTGAAGCAAAAAGCTCACAGAAAATGACAAGAATCTGGAGAAGAGTTCCCTGACTCAGCTGCATTGGTCACATATTTCTGTATTGATCCAGAATTCCTCATTCTGGATAAATGAAGTATGTTTAAAATTTTGGTTATTGGACCCTACTCAGCAGTGCTCAGGGCTTACTCCTGGCTCTGGGCTCAGGAATCACTCTAGGGTGCCTCAGAGTGACCAGATGAGGTGATAAGGATGGAACCTGGGTTGGCCACTTCCAATGCAATGCAAATGCCCTGCCCACTGTACTAACACTTCAGCCCCACATTTAATGTTGAAACAGCCAATAAACTCACTCCACAGATCAGTACTTCAGAAAAACGCTATTATTTTAAAACTGAAGACTTTTTTTTTAAACTTTGGAAAAGCAATGGAAGATTTCAGATTTTATAAATGTGTATGCATGTATACATGCACTTTTGATGAATACAAAATCCAAGTATATCCTCTCAGATTTTTCATCAAAGCACAGGAGACAGCTAAATGGTGACCTAAGATTCTCAGTGCAATCATTCTTAGACACATTCCAAATTCTCATCCCCTGCCCTTCCCTCTTTCATGCTGTCACTGCAATGGCTGGGGAGTCATTGGCTGTGGAGCTTCCTATACAATAGGCTGTGGTACTAGCATACTTGTCACAGTGTGGGTCACACTCCTCCACACATGCTGCTTACACATGCTCTGCTGGGGAATCATGCTGCCAGCATCAGTGACATTGTTTTAGCTGTGATATTCAAGACAAGGTGTGTCACACCTATTCACTGATGAGGTGTGTCAAACCTGCAGTTGCAGTGACTGCACAAACCCCACTGTGTTGCTGAAAATTACCTTGGATGCAGGGAACTACAGCAAGCAGAGCTGCCAGATACAAACCGCAGAACCGCAGGAACTGAGCTTGGTTTTGTGTGGGAGGATTCCTGAACTGAATTCAAGAAATGAACCCATGGCCTTACACTGTCCACTTAGTCAGCTCCTACCCTCACTACCCCCAAGGGTCACTTTTGCTGGTGTTTCAACTGTTTACATTTGTCTTTGAACCACTCCCAGCAGTTCTTAAGCTTGCTCCTGGCTCTGTACTCTGGGATCACTCCTGGTGGTACTCGGGACCACATGTAATGCCAAGGATTGAACCTGGGTCAGGCACATGCAAGGCAAGGGCCTTACCTGCTGTACTCCTGGCCACTAGTCCATCTCTCTGGTCCATTTCCAAGTTATAAATGTGACTCTGATAAACTAGCTTCCATTTCCATGAGGGCAGGAATGCCTG